CCTAGAATCCACCTGTAAATTCTCTATTTAAACACTCTGATCCTGCATCCACCACACCCTACCAGTGACTCCAGTAAACCGGTGAAGATATGCCATAGTCACTAAGTTATGTTTAACTTTGTACTAAACCTACTGGTGTGTTCTGTATCCTATACTTACAGCTCACTCAGTTATGCTTTGGCCTAAACCATCACTTGCAGTCAGGGCTAACTATTAAACTACTTTTACCTTTGTAAAATTTATCCAAAACCCCCGTACCCATCTTTCCAATGTCCGCTTTATTATTCTTTACTAACTGCTATTCAGAACTGACAGAACTGTCTGAACTTTTAATCCAGATGGCCTGGTATGGTATACCTTAATATCTTTTTTCTTCGATGATTCCAGTAGCCTGGTTGGTCATATGCTCCTTTATATATCTTGTTATCCAGTTTATCTACCTATCTTTTTGGAGGTGTTTCATGGGCTTCCATCAGTCTGACAGCACCATCAAAAGTTTTGTGCTACCTTCTTACTTGGGATTTCTAAGTAGGTTTCCAACTCTTCAGTTTTTTTGCTTTCTGTGCCCGATAGTCTTATTGTAGGTTTGTACCGAAGTCTTATGCAATACTGGTTATTAACATTCCTCTATGTAAGTATAACATTACACTTAGCATAGATGCCCCAAGCTCCCATTCGAGATGGTGTAACAAAGATTACAGATACACCAATTCAACCGATTGACAGAGACAGTTACCATAACACAGACCTATTTTCCAAAATTTGTTATCTATGAGATTTGAACTTTAGACCTGCCACTTAGGGGTTGACAACTTGACCACTTTACTAGGTCACTACATCTCTTGTTTTTATCTTTTTAATTGATACATATATCTTAAAAATTTAATAAATATATCTATTTTATCTTTTATATTTATATTTTCTTATTCATTTCTAATTTTTTTTTGATTTTTAATAATTATTTTCAAATTTTTTTTTATATCTTTTTAGTTTTTTTTCTTTTTTATATCTTTTTTTTTTTATATATTTTCTTTTTTTTTATATTTTTCTTTTTTTTTCTTTTTTATATCTTTTTTTTTCTTTTTTTTTTTTCTTAAAATGTATTGGCAGTGTAAACATTGTAATCAAAGATGTTTGAAATTATTCACATTAATACAATATATTTCACAAAGTTATCCTTATCTTTAAGGTTCTACAAATAATACAGTTTCTACAGAATACTTAGATAATGATAATATTTGGAATCTTTTAGTATATAGTTCTAGTGATTTTGCTACAAAATATAAAGTAAATAGTTATATATTTTTAATTATTATAAAGCATTATATAATGATAAAATTTCATATAGAGCAAAAATATGTCAATCTTATTTGAATTAACTTCAAATGAGCCTTCTTATATAGAAATAGAATATCTTTCAATTGATGATATGATGAAAGATGGAGTATCTCAAAATATGTCTAATGAAAGTAATCTTGAAGACTACAAAGATATTTCGTTAGATAATGTTAGTGATAGATTGGTTGAAATTGAGTCTAAAGATTTTGAAGAAGCTTCATTTAATAATGTTTTTGATGACTTGTACTACTTACAAAATATCAAATAGTTTAACAATGCTTATTATGAATTTATGAAGATAGTTAATAAGTATCAACTTTTAAATTTTAGCTGATAATACCTTTATAAACTTCTTCAATAAATTCACCAATTTGGATACTTCTCTACTTTCACTATTAACAAAAACTAAAAAGGAATTTCTTAATAAATCTACTTTATCTTATATAATCTTTAAAAAAATTTCTATAAAAAAGTTTAAAAATATTGAATGTATTTTTACTATTAATTATTAATTAAGGCTATAAAGTCTTTAATAAAAATCGATAGTATTAATCAGTTATTGGTCCTTGAATATAAAGATAAAAGAGAAATAAGAAATAATATAGAATATAGAATCTTCAAAAAACAATATCATAGTAATTAGTAAAAATAAGAAGAATCAAAATTACTTTTTGGACAACATTTGTTATTGCTTATTCTTTATTCAGATACAATAACCTTGAACTATATAGGAAAATCTTCTAGACATCCTTTGTTTTTATCATTTAAAAATATTTTCAACCATCAAAAAAACAAACCAGAATCCAAATCATTAATTAGATACCTTCCAATCTTAAAAGCTAAAGATTTTAAAATAAAAAAGTCTGATAAATTCTGAAAAGTACAGAAAAAAATTTTTTAAAAATGTATATCAGTTTGTCTCAAGTCTATTGTTGAAGAACCAGAGCTTCATTTTGTAGTATATAAAAATATAATCACTTTTATTCTATATATATTGATAATTATCACAGATATAGCTAAGGCTGATAAGATTGCAAATATCTATTAGCCAGCTTTCTCAAGACAATTATGTGAAAAATGCTTAGTATCAATAGATAACTTGAATAATACTAATTTAATAAAAATAATTCCAAGAACTTCAGATTCTATAATACAAATAATAGATAGCAGAGATGATCAGTATTATTTAATTCATTCTAAAAAAAATGCATTTTGGGACATAAGGTATGAAATTTAGTTTATTGTTATTATAGTAATGTACTAAAAATATATGTTGTTATAAATAATAAGCTTTTAAAAACTTTAATATATATGAGGCTATTGTACCTGATCAAATGCATACTTTGGATTTTGATTTCTTTAAATATATGCTAGACTATATTAAAAATTTTTTATATGACCAATGCAGGAGTCAAGTAATTCAAATCTTTAAACAATGATTAACATCAATTTCTCAATATAGTGCCTTAAAATAATAAAATATATATCAGATATAACATTTATTAGAGTTAACAAATTATGAAATATAATAAAAATAATAATTTTCATTTTTAACAATTTACATAAGGATTATAAGAAGCCAGGAATTAGTAATAAATAGTTATATCAAGTTTATTACAAATTCTTTAGAATGTATATTGCTATCTGTAAAGAATTATTTACTAATGATTCTTGTAACCAGCATCAGATATAATATAAATAATTGGTTTTTTAAAATATTAGATTACTAATGATCAATTTCACAAATCTTCATTTTGAATAGGGCTTAAGAATTCATTAAAATATTTTCAAAATATGTTTAAAATGAACTTCAATTTCTTAAACTTTATGCTTGATATTATTATATAATATCTGCAATTGAAGAGTATAAATCTATAAATAGTATAACTACAGAGACTTATAAGACTCTTTATAAAGATTATGTAAAAATTCTTTATTACATATTCAATAAAAAAGACTATATAAAACAAATAATAAATATTGTAAATTTGATATATAGTAAACTTTTGCTAAACATTGCTAATAATTATTGTAAATAAATTAAATAACAACAACTAACAGAACATAAAGCTCAAAAAAATATTATAAAGTAAAAGGATTTGATAAATTTTTGTGATCATTAGGTTTAGATAAGCTAGATGATTTTTTTGAAAATAATAAAAATAATATGGATCTATTACAAATTAAAGATTTTTAAAATTTACTAACAGGTCTCAATAAATTTTTTGAAGAAGAATTAGTAACATTCCTTACTAATAATAATTACATGAAGATATTTCTTCAGCTTCTTTAGAATATACTAATATAATTTAGGCTACATCAAATTTTCATAAAGGTCAGATGTTTTCTTATATTATTATTAATGGAAGTAACAAAGAAAAAGAAATAAATTGGTATAACTTGGTAAATATTGATATATTTATAAGTTATTTTATTAATACAATCTAACAATAAAGCAATAAAAACAGGTTTATAACATTAATAATTATAATAACTCTCAAAGTTAGAAAATATTGTCATTTTTATCTAATTTCAAGAGTAATATAATTAACATATTCATTATCTATCAAGGTATTGCTAATACTTAAATTTAATCAAGTAAATAAAAAACTACTTGAATTTATTTTAATCTGCTAGTATAATAAAGATGATGAATTATATAGATGTCCCAAACTGAAACTGCTAAAATACTATAATTGTATACCTTTGAAGAACATAGATAAAACTGTACATATAGTCCTGAGATTTAACAGAAGAAACAAATATTTAGCAAACAGTTTTATATTCTAATTTAAAGTGTATATTTAAAGAGTCTGGTTAATTTAAAGTGTTAAAATAATTAGTTAATTAATTTAAAGTGTATATTATACAATATGTAAGATATATATCAAGTAATAACAATAGTATCGAATAATAATAATTAAATAAATTTGATTATTATCAATATTGAGGTATAATCAATAAACATCTAATAATCAGTATTTATTGATATTGATTAAATATTAAGTAATAACATGTTTATTAATATATATTGATATTTTTCTAATGATATATATTAATATAACATTATATATCAATATATATCTAGTAATAAAATTTCCTGATAATAAGAAACAAGAATCTAGCTTTAAAAAAGCATGACTAGAACATCTATCTAATGCTATCACCTGAAACATTCAACAGTTAAGCTGGTGGGTAATAAATCTAGAAAACTGAAATAGAACATGTGTACTACAAGACAGCCCAATGACAATCATCTTTACAGATGCCTCTTTAACAGACTGAGGAGCAATAAGAGATCACAAAACAGTTTATAGTCACTGGACCAAATCTCAAAGAAGGCTATACATAAACATTCTGGAATTAAAAGCAATTCATTACACTCTACTATCTTTCAAGAACATCAAAGATCAAACAATTTTGATAAAATCAGACAATACAACTGCAGTAGCATATTTGAACCACCAGGGTGGAACCACATCCAGAGAATTGAGTCTTCTAGCAGAAGATATATGGGAACTCTGCCTAAACAAAAGGAACAATATAATAGTACAGCATTTATCAGAAAAATTGAATCTAGAAGCAGACCGAGCCTTAAGGCACAGAATCGAACAACAGAATTGGCAGCTAAACCACCTGATTATTAACAAACTAATGAGTAAATGGGGACCATTTATGATCGACCTGTTTGCGAACAAGGACAACACGCAGCTACTATGCTATTTCTCGAGATTTCCAGACCCAGCAGCCCTTGCAACAGATGCCCTAAAATGGAACTGGCCCAAAGAAATGCTATAGGCCAATCCTCAATGGATACTCATCCCCAAGATACTATCCAAAACAGTTGTGGACCAAGCCACCCTTTGCATTATTATTCCAGGATGGAAGACAGCACCTTGGTTCCCATCATTGATGAATGTACTGATAGACTTCCCAGTGTTACTACCGTCTCACGAACTGCTGACCCCATCACAAACCAAACAACCCAATCCTCTGCAAAACCCAAAGTGGCAGATGTTCGCCTGTCTAATATCAGGACTAGGCTACAAGCAAAAAAATTTTTGGAGGAAGCTATTAAAAAAGTACAAGCTACAACGAATAAATCTTCAAACATCACAGTGGGATCAGCGTTTAACAAGCGGTGTGTTTGGTGTAATGAAAGGAACATGGATCACATACAAGACCCTATAGAGCATGTAATCGAATTTTTAAACGATATGTGCAATCAACATAAAGCATTCAATACAATAGCATCTTACAGATCAGCGATAAGTGAAGCTTATAGTTATGTTGATGGTTACCCAGTAGGAAGACACCCTGACATTGCTAAATTCATGTTAGCAATCTGAAAGATAAACCCTCCTCCACCGCCTCCAGATGATGCGTTAGACATTATGCCTGTTCTAGACTATATCACAAGCCTAGATTCTAATGAAAACATGGCAATATTAGATTTATTACAGAAAGCAGCTTTCTTAATAGCATTAGGAACTGCCTCTAGACCTAGCGATCTCTGCAGAATTAGCTTAAAAACTCTTAAAAAATCAAAATCAGGAATATTTTTCAAAAATCATAAATCCCAAAGAAACTAACATTTCAATAACACATGGGGGAAATAAACACAGGACAAAGAAGATTTTTATTGATTACTATGAGGACCGGGATCTATGCCCTGCCTCAACAATATTGAAATTACTGGATCGAACACATGATTGGAGGGATACTCCTGAAAAACTAGAGTATTTGTTTCTAACATCCACTACATCTTATCGACCAGCATCATCTGACACCATCGCAAGATGGTTAAAACTTATTTTGATGCAAGCAGATCCTACTGCAAAAGCCAAGGATGTAAGAGTATTATCGGCCTTGCTCGCACAGGATGCAGGAGCAGATATGAATACCTTATTAGCACTAGGCAACTGGACAAACTATGCAGTTTATCAAAGATTTTACCAAAGAGGCATTAGGAGGATGCTAGAACGGAATAAAGTTTCATCTCAGATCAAAAGTTATACAATAAAGGTACTCTGAAGTACAGGTGAGAACGTCCCAAATTTAGGAATTATTATCCGGGTCACCCGATTGTTACACAATTGATAAGCATTTTTTTTTATACGTTTTACAATACTTTTTTTTAAAAAGCTCGGGTAGCTTAACTTTTTTAAAAAATGCAAAAATTATAACGGATAAATTGATACTTTTACTTCGCTTTACAACATATCTATTTAATCCCTCTTAATCCCACAACTTTTTTCTTATAACCCTGATTGGCTAACATGCAGGTGACTTGTGTAAACTTATAGCATGATTGGTTGATGCATTTGTGTAACTCATATCGGAATCATTTCCATATTTGGGACGTTCTCCCCTGTAACTCTGAAGTCTACACGTGATATTATATATCGGAGTGAGTGAAGTGCATTTTCACCAATGATCGAACATAGTGAAGATCATTGGTAAATGTATGAACGAACGAAGATATAATATCACGTCGTTACCCACCCAAAACTCATTGATTATACAAGATGAATTTCCTTCCAAACCACAATCTAACTATCTATATTTAAAACAATAACAATAAAGCGCTAGTAACGGCCTAAGGAAGAGAGGTTAATCAGGTGAGAGGTATATATATAGGAAAATAACAATACGTAATAATAGACTGGTGTAACATTGCCTGAAACTGCATTAACGTGAATGTAAGAACGATCTCCGAACTTGGTAATTTGCTGCTAATAAAATGGTTGTACTACACGTGATATTATATATCTTCGTTCGTTCATACATTTACCAATGATCTTCACTATGTTCGATCATTGGTGAAAATTTCCCTTAGAAAAATTCCGAATCATATTAAGCTGAGAGCATAGTGGTGGTTATACCATGCTATACAGTATTATACGACTTTTCTTACTTTTATTACCTTTGTTACATTTATTACTTCGGGTATATCGACAGCATATAGAATATCCGTTTCTTCTTTAGGATAGTAGGGATAAGGGTTTTAACGAAGAGATAGTGTAAATAAGCAATGTAGAGGAAATTAACCTGAATGTAAATAAAACTTTTATTATAATAAAAGGCTTTCCGCCCAGGGGGGAACGGGAGCGATACCCCCAAGTAAATACATTTGCATAACAAAACTAAGTACCCGCCCCATAATAAAAGCGAAACTATTATCCGATCCAAACTAAATACTGTCGTTAATCCCATCACTAACATAAACGTTCACCCAAACCACAAAACCCGCTGTTGATCGTTCGCCGTAAGTCACGTAACCAAGAAAGCCGTTAACGTAATAGAAGAAAGACAACCCCGATTCGACGTATTGTAATCCCACGTTGAGGCATATAAGAGAAGACAAGAGTTAGTAGGAGAATATGTTGAAGGAAAGACTCTAAGAGGAGGCCAGTACTTACCTACGGATAAACCACCAGCCAAATCAATTTGTGTAATTGTAAATGCGAAACTTGTGATTCTTAAAATTTTTAATATAAGATAGTAACAACTAACACTAACCCAGTCAAGACTAGATTACAGTAATATTGCGTTGTGAAATGTAGATCTATTCATAAATTTTTTATACAACGCAAAACAATCCTGCATTAGATCTGTAGATAGTCAAATTAAATTATGCATAAGCGCCTAATTTAAATAATAAAGATGTAAAAGATACGTAGTCGTAATTGTATACTATAAATATCAAGCGAAAAAAATTTATTTGACAATATATCATTGAACATGAGTCAGACAGATAAAGAACTCCGTGAACTTGGATGGAAATATCAAAATGGCATTGGAGTCGAGAAAGACGAGCATAAGGCTTTTGAATACTATAAAAAATCCGCAGACATGGGTTATGCAATTGCAAATAACGACGTTGGATATTGTTATGACAAAGGAATTGGAGTTGAAAAGGATGAACATAAGGCATTCATTTATTATCAAAAATCTGC